AAAAAAAATTGTAAGCGATCGATCTACATATCCGAGACACGAATACTTAAGGAAGTGAGTTATCATGATGACACTCGGTTCTCTGTATAAGCGATAAACCAATTATATACAGAGTGGAACTTAATTTAAAGTTTGAATAAAACTTTGAATAAGTATCGTGTATGATTCTGTAAAAGTAATAATTTAAAATAATTCATTTTTTTCTTTTTTTTATAAAAATTATTAAACTTATTCTTCGAATGAAATCATATATATATATTTTAACATCAATTATCTATTTAACTCGCCAATTTAAATTGCTTTAAAAAATTTATTTTTAAAGATAATTTTAATTTAAATTTTTCAAAATTTGCTTCCTTGTTTTTCGTATATATATATATATCAAATTTTAGAAAATTCAAACACAAATTTTTCATTAAAAAATGATCCTTTACGAATAACATTCTACATCGAATAGTTATCGATAAAATTAATTCCATTAAAAAAAAATACAATCATAGACACAGACAGATCTTCATATATCTTCTAGACTTACGAAAAAAAAAGAAAATAATAATAAATCAAATTATATCAACCTCTAATTCAACCTTCAGCTCTTCCAACTTCTTAGCTCTGACTCACCCTGTATATCCACCAGCGTCATTATCCACTTGCATCTCTCTGCTCCTCCCGTTTCTCTTCCATAGGCACGACGATTCTATGTATCGCGCACGCTTGTAAATTGCATAATCGGATAACTGCAACCGCTTTGACCGAATAAATAAACTCGAAGTCTTCGAAACTGGACTTTCATTTCAACGTTTTCTTCTCCTCTTTTCGTTCTTTTCATTTCCCCCCACCCTTTTTCCATGATCTTTCTCACTTATAGAGAATAACGGGGACAATAGATGCGGCGGCAGATGTTGTCGAGATGCAATGATTTCGCAACTTGGCGGATCAAATCCGGGCCAGAAATCGCGGAGAAATGCAGGCCAACGGCGGAGATCGTTCGACCCTCTTATCTGACGTTTCTATATTTACGGGGGTCGTCGACATTGCGATTCGATATTGCGATTCGTGTAATTCGAATAACGTTAAATTAATTATGATCTTAGGTAAAATCTTAGGTTAGGTAAAATCGTTGCTTTCGTGCGTTCGAAAGTTCGTCGTCTCGTTTCGAAGGGGGAGATCTCCGAGTGGAAATGTTCGCGATGATTAATTGTGAGAATTTTGGAATGCGTATAAAATATCGTCCTATGTTGTTATTTGTGTTAACACAAAATTGAAAATTTGTTATTTTTTAAGAAAATTTTCAATCGTCAGGTTGTCATTTAAAGGTGTCTCCTTCGATTTTTCGATATTTGGACTAGTTTAAAATTTTTGTTATCGAAAAGTTAGTTAAAAAAAATCAAGTATCGAATAACGTGGAAAATTTTAATTGTTGACATAAAAGGCGTTATTTATCTTCGAATTTTCGATAAGTAATTATTGACTGAACTTTTCTTCCTATTATATATGCCAAATATCTTTAAGTAAAAATAAAAAAAAAATCGTAAAAAAATTCATTCGTGGTTATTATTAGTTTATCAAGTAGATAATAAATATATAAATACGTCAACAATGCATATGAAATACAATAGGATTTAAATCTCATTATCTCTATGACGTTATCAAGTAATGTAACAGATAGTATATTTGATTTTAATATATCAATATACTGTTGATATAAAAAAAACATTTACAAAAAATATTATACTCTATTATATAGAATTGGTATTTATAACTCTAAGTTAAATTTAAAAAAGAAAAATAGAAATATACTTTCTTATAAATTACATCGCAAAAAATAATACATTATTCAATATTGTAATATTAAAATTGTCTATTTCTAAAGCTAGCTTAAACTCTACAAATATTTTTGTTAAATTGTTTTGTTTTTAAAGCTTATAATCTATATTCTACAATTATTTTTTACACATTCTTTAAACGTTTTTTAGATACGCAAAATATTCATAATATATGATAACAAATAGTCGATAACTATGAACAATTATACATCGAAAAAATAAATAAATAAATAATTTCAATTTTGAATTCCTCATTACAATAATAATATCATTAAAAAAACATTATTATCCACTATATAATTAATACGATTATGCATTAATAACAAATATTTACATATTTCATGTATCAATAATATAACACATATATCTCAATAAATAAAATATAGAAAATTCATAATAATTTTCTAATCTAAACAACACAGTTACACTTTTCTTACCACACGAGAGATAATCTATCGATTCCTCGACCTCATGAATACGATAACAATAGACACGATAGGGAACGAATAAATAAAGATATCAACGGGGAGGAAGATCGGTCATAAATTTGCATTTCAAACGCGAATAAAAACTTAATCCTTCTCGTGTCAACTACATAATTAGAGGAGAAAAATTTTGATTTCGATAGCGCCATGTCTTCGTTATCTCCTACCAATAAGAAGTACACGACTCGTTCGCCAGAGCGCCTCGAGGACTCGGTTTCGTGTCGGCAGACGGATGTCGTGCTTTCGGCTGTCAATCATTCCGCCGCTTCGTCCTCCACTATCACTTCACACTCTGACCAATCATTCTACCAACAATACACAGTAAGTACAATTTTCATTAACGAAATTCTCCTCACATTACTCTTCGTCGAAATTTAAGCAAAAAGTCGAGGAACAACCACCACCACTTTTGCGTACGTTTCATTCATTTGAAGCCTCGTCGTTGCACGTTGGACAAAATAGACGATCCTCGTAATTGAAAATTAATAACAGTGCGGACAAAAAAAATGGAGAAGTGCAAAAGATCGCGCGACGAAGTGAGAAAGTCAACGCGACTTGTCCAGCCTCCTCGTGAAATTTTTTGGCGGAAAGGATTTCTTGGCGGTTATTTTTCTTTTTTTTTCTTTTTTTTTTTTTTCCCCTCTCTTTCAATATAACTCTGCAACGATTGTGCGAGATACTGAACAGATATCGTTTCGATGGAATAACAGACGATATCTCGTAGCAGGTTCACGATGCAACTTCGAAAATCCGTTTAAGCTTATTGGATCACGGCTAGCTCGGAATCACAGTCCAGGCGGGAGGTCCTCCGTTTAAAAATCCAATATTCCCTCGGATTGGTTTTCGAGTCAAGGCAATGGATCTCATCGATACCGAATTTATCCAAGGTTTTCTTTTTCTTCTTCTTTTTCTTTCTCTTCTTC